GTCGGCAGGCTCAAATGGTGAGCCAATTTGTTCCTGGAACTCCCATTCTGGATAAAAGGATCAAACCTCAAGATCGATGATCGAACAGGAAGACCGATGAACTGAATGAACTTCCAGAGTTTACCTGAGTTTCAGAACCCGAAAACGTGATATCCATCCCTCCGATTCCTTTAAAGACATCGGACGATGTATTCTTGTTCCACGAATCGCTGGAGAAGTCAGATCCGAGGTCTGAAACATGAGGAGGCATGATGCTTGAGCCTGACACTGGTGGTCTGTATTTCATGTTCATATGATTGTGACTGTTGTTCGAGTTCTTGAACTCTGCAACACGTTAACACGTTGTGAGATCACTTATAACCAGAGACACGGATTCAATCAAACTGAATTGAGTCTCTAATCCTACCGTTTTCAATCATCAAATCGGACAATAATCCAGGAGGAGAACTATGTTGCTTCATCAGACAAGATCCATTGGAACTGCCATTGTTCATGAAACTGAACGAACCGTTCACCGAAGAATGACAGTTCCCTGAATTCTGCAGACCAAGAAGATCATTGTTCTGATGCGTGATTGGCTCTTTGTTCTCATGTGTTTTCATAACATCTGCAAAGAAACTGTCCATCTCTGGGCTGGGTGACCGGAAAGACCGGTAATTGCCGCCATTTTCGAAGCTGTTGTTGAAGAAAGGGCTTGGTGTTGACCGGTAACGAGCCGCACCATTGGTGCGAATGAGCTGTTCTTGTTGCTGGTTTGGGAAATAAGGATCCATGAAATCTTCGTTCTTTATGAACTCTGCTTCTGGGTGCGTGAAGTTATTACCGTACACGAGGCTCATCTCTTCTGCAAAAACCCAAACTCTGAAATATTCAACAACTCAACTTTTGAACTTACATACATATATACATATATACATATATATATGCGCACGTCCATTAATTCTTATGGAGATTGGATTCAATGGTGAGTAAATCGCAGTAAGACAACAAAAACAAGTGCAGAGAAGCTTCTCTGGCAAAGATTTGATGTTTCTTGATGGGAGTTCAGACATGTTTCTTCTCTACTGTTGTTAGAGTGTTAAGCTCAAATACCAGACAGGGGTATGAAATTCTTGCATCCGCCATGAAAACTAGCTTGAAGCAGACACTAAAAGGAGAAACAAAGAACACAATGCGAAAAGATCGAAACTTTTTAAAGAGGATCTTAGTTCAAGAAACCAAGAGTATTCATTTTCAGCGATGATCGAGGAAACGAAAACAATACCTCGAGTTTTTTGGTCTGAACACAAGCTCTGTGTTTTTTTTTTCTCTGCTTACGAAAAAAATGGATGGATTGAAAATATTACAGAGAAGATGATCAAATGCAGAGTAAGAACACAGGCGAATATAAGAGCCGATAGTTCCTAGAAAGCCCTTGGATTAGTGTTTTATTACAGGGAATGCCATTGGAGGAGGAGGCTGATGTGAGATGCGTGACGTCAGCATTGCGACAGCGGAATTCGGTTGACCAAAGCAAAACTTCGAAGGAAAAAAAAAAGAAATATATCATTTCCTCACTCTTTGGGTATTATAAGCTATTGAATGCTTGAAAGTGAAATTTTTCATATATATTGAAATTACCCGCTTGTTTAGATTTAAATTTTTGTATAATATATGATCGTTTAATCATCTAAATCATACATTATACATACAGAAAATTTGCACAAAGAATTTCGTCGACCATGGAAGCGATTAAAGATGATACGTCGGTTTAGATGTCAAATATTTGATATGTACAAAATTTATATAACACTTTCAAAAAAATTTGAAGATTTTAATTGGAACTATATAATTTTTATTTAATATTGCAAATTTTTATTTTATTTTATTTATTACAGTCGATGTGCAATGTAGATAATTGATTACTACAGATTTTCAAAATTAATGTCTTGGCGGTGCATTTTTTAGTACGGACGAAATTCATACGGATAATCTCACGTATACCTCAAAGTTTGACATGTATGTGTCGTTGGGCACCAAATTTTTTATAGAATTACAAATTTAGATTGATTAAAAAAAATCATAGAAATCTTACGTACATGCTTTGAATGCTAAAAAGTTAGTAGTGGTTTTCCTTGTTTCAAATTTTTAAAACTTAAATTCAAGTTTTTTTTTTACTATAAAACCCAATTTTTGAATTCAATTAATCCAATTTTCTAATTTTCTAGATTAATAACTACAAATCAATTTAAATTATTATATTTCCTTAACACAATTCATTATCCACAGTAACTAATTGTTGCAAAAACTCCAACTAATAATTTCTAGCGAAAAAATCGTAAAGAAAATAAAATATTTTTTGGCTACTGAAACCCATAAAAATCTGCTTATTTATTTTGTTTTATGAAACACTTTGTGTATACAACAAACAAGAAGGACCGACGAGGTCTCTTGGTCAAGAAGAAAATAATACTCTTATTGTACGTATTAATTAAGTAATTAACCAAAATAATTACGAGCAAATCATATTTTAATTAAAACGACAGCTGGCTCTTGGACGTGCCTTTATTGGTGATCACATCGAGGCCAAATACAGCTATATGGGCTCTCCGATGGCTGTTTGATTTGAAGATTAACCTAAACCCATTCTCCAATTAGATATTAATTATTGGTGAAATCTATATTAATTGCTGAAATTTATATTAATCGTTAAACGGATGTTAGTTCGGCTCGACCATGTCTTAATAATCCAACTGAATCTAATACTAATAGATATTTTTAAATATAAATCACATTCTATTTAAAAATAGGGTATAAATTTTTTAAATCAATTAATATAATCCAAATAGAATAAAATCAAATGAAAATGAAAATAAATTTTTTTAATGAAAACTGAAATCGAGTAAAATCTAAACAAAATTTGCAACAAACAATTCTAACATAAAATGGATATAATTTTTTTAAATAAACAATTAGAATATAAGAAGAAGAAAATTCAAAATATCGAAGCTAATAGCTTCGTGGATTTTTTATGGTTAATTATTATAATTAATGTTTTAAAATGTTAAATTTCCCATCCACTTGGAGTTGACATCTTTAAAAAATGTCAACCCCCAAAATCCCGTACCATTGAAAACCAAAATTGTAGAATAAAATAAAATCTACACTTGATAACTCTTTTTAGAAAACAAAAACTCACATTTAATTATACAATAAACAAAACCTTCAACATGAGCAATAAAATACGAAAATTTAAAACAAAAATTAGATAATTATATTATAATATTTGGGGATGTCATTCTCTTATAAACTTTGGTTATAATATCTAAATGGAATTTAATAATAATTAGTTATATTTCAATCGAATTGGATTTAGATAATGATGTAATACTATATTTAAAAAATATAAAGTTAAAGAAAATAAATTAAATTTGAAATATAACAATAATAGAAAAATTTAATTTAAAATAAAATAATTAAAATTTATAAATATTTAGAAAATTTAAACAAAATAATTGAAAAATTGAATTTGATGGTGATCGGCATGAAACCGAAGAAAACGACATCTTAGTTGATAATATTAAATGCAACAATGCGTTCACACATCATGATTTCAACTCATAAAAATTACACAATATTATGTAGAGTTATATAGACTAAGTAAAATTATTTTATATTGATATTATTTAACTAATTGTAGAATTATTTGACATGATCTTCTCTAAAACATGAAATATTTAAAATTTCCGCATAACTTATGAAAAAAAAAAGATATTTAACCGGATTTTTTCGGTTCTCTTGCAAACTGAGAAAATATTTTTTTTGCAAAAACTATACATATAATGGAATAAGTATTTTAAAATATACAATTTGATCGACTTTATCCTATATATTTTTTATAAGTTTACTGTGAATTTAACACATACATATTCATAAAATCATAAAATCAAGAAACTTATAATAAATTTTATAAATTCAAACTAAACCAGTTACATTATATAGGATATAATAAAGGAATATTAGTTTTGCAAGTTTGGTTTTGGAATTAAAAGCCGAAAATTACACCTTAACCGCACACGCAACCACAAACGTTGAATTGAAGCTTGACGTTAATGGAGATATGGCCACCATCTTCGTTTAACCATAAATTAACAAATAAAATAAAATTATATGACGTAACCAAATCAAATATGGCATTTTAATTCAGATTTGTTTAATTATTTATAGATTTGACATTTTTAGGAAAAAAATGTTTATCAAACTGAGTTTTTTACTTTTTCTAATTTTTTATTTTTATTTTAAAATTCATTTTTATTACGAAATTCGGCTCGAGCAAATGTAACAATAACCCATTTCCTCTCATCTTTAATTTTTGTATCTATCGAATTTATTCTTTTATTTTTTTAAATTAATTAAATATATTACTATTTTTAGGTGCTGCCTTCTTGTTTTCTTCCGTTCACACACGTTTCGTCTCGTGATTGGACTGTTATTCTATCTTCGAAAAACAGCAAATTTCTCGCGAGAAATTGTCTGACAGCCAATAATTACAGATTTTCGTGATAATTAAGTACAGCGCATGTTGTTATCTTTGGGACCCCATACCTTTAATAAATTCGTAACTGTGCTTGCCAGATACGTTTTCATAATTACCCTTTTGCCCTCCTGTTCGAACGAAACTACACGCGCATGCCATTCGAGACCATCTCTCCTAATCGATCAGCTGAAACAACAAAAAAGAAGTGGAAGGGGGGAAAATCACAAGGCAAATCACATCTGACGCGATGCAAATCATCAAACCTTAAAGCCACAAAATAATAATCTTCAGATTTCTCAAACACGAAGCTAAGAATGTAATTTAAGAAAAAAAAATAAAGAGAAGATGAAAAAAAAAAGAGAAGAAAGAAGAGGTTTCAGATTTGATCGAACATAGGAAGAATCAGAAAATCCTTCTGATCTTCGTTTAATACACCAACGAAATCGATTTCTCCCGGCATCTCCATGGCGACTCTCGGCTAGAGGATATTTTAGATCGAGCTTGATCTACGAAGAAATTCGACGATTGAGGGTTCAGATTTTTTTTTTAATCTGGTGAGATAATTTAAACCTTGACGATCTTCGCCGCCTTGACGACCGGATTTTCTCTGGCGATCGTCTCACGACCCACAGCCTTGTAGTCATAGCTGCAGTCATGGCGGTCGGAGTACCGGTGCTCCGCGCAGAAAAGCTCGCCGCAACGGCACCGGAAGCCGGTCAAACCGACCTTCCTCCGGCAACCAGAACACCGATTAACGATCTTCTCCACCTCCGTCACGTCGCTCTCCCTATTCCGCCCTATAATCACCTTTACCGGAGACAAATCTGACCGATCCTTCGACAACGACCGGAGGGCGCTAGATCTGGCCGTTTTCTTCGAGATCGGCCCTCCCCCAACACCGACCCCACCCTCCTTGACGACGTTGTTGGCGCCGGCGATGGATGAGACGGAGGAAGAGGAGGACGAGGCGGTGGTTGCGTTAAAGCATTTCTGACACATGTTGTTGGTTGCCGGATTTCCGGTGACGCCGCAGTTGTTGACACAGAGCGTCAAGGTCTCCGGTACTTTGAACTCTGTCTCCTCCTTCTCCGTCCTCTGCGCCATGTCCACGATCTACACCGGCAACCGAAGGATCTCTCCGGATGGAGATTTCGCGAACGAATTCAAACAAATTGAAAGAGAGATCGGTTAGAGAAGGAGGAGGAGAGGTTCTCCTCTTCTTCTTTTTTTTCTTTTTGAAGGAGAGATTATTTTTTTTCTACAGCGAAAATGGTAAGAGCTCCAGAGAGAGAGAAATGGTGATTTTGAGGGGATTAGATTGAGAGGCCTGTAATGGGGAAGGAATATGGCGTATCGACTCTTATCATTTCAGTTCCCTTTTCCTTCCTTTGGTGGGTTTTGAATTTACGAAAATATCCTCTTGACCTCCGTAGAATTACGGTGGACAGTTTCGTCATTTTATGTTCGGTATCTTACGTATTTATGACGTCATACATTGGACCATACGGCGTGTTTTCTTTTTAAATTCTCATTCTCTGTTAAAGTAATATATCTCATTGGATATATTATTATTTCAGCTAAAAAAACATTGGTGAATTCCAAATCACGGATATACATGGAAATTTGAATTTAAATAACACTTCAAAATATAATTGATACTATCATACTATCGTGATGTTTGATTTAAATATTCGATGTGGATGATATCAATTCTAATAGTCATGTTTAAAATTTCGATAGAGTTGTATCATATATATTCTTTAGAAATATTATTGGACCCGTTTGCAAAATTTTTCTAGTTGAATATTTTCCACCTCATAAAATAATTAATTTGAGATATTATACCTATTATGATAGAAATCAGACACATATATAGAATTTCAATTGTATATAAGCAATAGTTTGTTTGTTTAGTATTAAATATTAATAACTCATATAGATATGACTCAATAATTAGTTGGATTACTAAACGTTTAAATAATTAATTATCTAAAGAGTGACAATAATTGTAAATGCATAAAAAAACAAATAAAAATAAAAAGTAAATGTTTCTTAATTTACAAGATGTAAAAATAAACTTAATTTGTGAAATATGTCAATGCAGACTATATCTTTGAAAAAACATATTTTTTCTATATACAAACAATATCCTTAAAAAGTTACTATTTTGTCTTCACCAGTAATTAAATTCTGGGATTTTATTCATTGAATGTTTTATGATATTTTGGTTCATTCATCTCTATAACTGTGGAGAGCTCCCTTTTGTTAAGAGTAAGAAGGTTATCCCAATGTCTTCTTGTCTGACTAATTCTAGAAATCATGGGGAAAAATCAATGATCATAGAATTTTTTTTTATTTTGGCGAAATGGATATGGAATATATTGATCAAACTGCTGCAAATATTGTATTAAATTAATACAAAAATATATTTTATTTTTCCACTAAATTCAAAATAAAATAATTTAGTTTACAAAATATCAGATCTGTGTATTATTTATTTGAAATAGTCATTTTTTTATTAAAATTGAATTAAATGTTTAAAAATGTAATAAATTAAAAAGAAAAAATAAATAAATAGTAAATGGTAATTGTGTACTGGAGATTAATGGAAAAATATCTAGAATATTTTTTTAATCACTTCCTGTGTAAATAAACTGAAAAGATCTAGAAAAGGATGCAGAACTTGGTTTATAGTAAATAGTAAATAGTAAGTGGACAATTAATTAACCAATTTCCAAATAGACTTACTCTATGTTGGAAATTGTGAGGAATGAATGCTTTTTGCAAAATAATCAAATCTTTGTTTCCTAAATCCGCAAAAAGATTATTCGTTATTTATTTTCGATTAAAAAATTACGTAAGCCAAGTTTTTGGCGTCGCCCTCGCTGATCACGCAAACGCACCCGAGGGTAATACGGTAATTTACGTGTCGCAAATGGCCCTTCTCTCCGAGGTTAAAAGGGTAATTATACAATGGGCCCCCCCCCAACTCTCCCACGGGATCTTTTTCTTCGAGCTGCCGACTCTGACCGACTGATGCGATTACGACGTCGTTTCATAAGATTTTTTAGCTGTAAAAAAAATTATATATGAAACGACGTCGTAATCGTATCGGTCGTTTCATGTATATACGATTGGATTGTTTCTGCCGTTTAGTGTAATTTCTTTTGTCTTGGTTGTGTTATAAATGCTTTTTGCACGTATCGAAAAAATATCTGGAGAAAGAAAAAAAAATACATTTTTATATTATATAATATAATATAATATAATAATATGTCAACCGGCTGCATAAAAAAAGTTTTTGGACTGCCAATTTTCTTCCCATTTTGACTTGAAAAATATCAGCAAATTGATTCCATTCATGATGTGCAGTTAAACATCGTGGAATATTAGCATGTAATTTCTTGGAGTTCATTTCCCTTTTTATATAATTAAAAGTCCTTCTAGATAAAAGTGTTTATTAAAAACGATTTTTTGTATTGTAAGATAATATTATTTTTGTTATTATTGATTATTAAATAATTTTGAATAAATAATATCATTTTTAATGAATTTTTTGTAGAATAAAAAACTTAAATAAAATAAAATCACAATAATATACAAACTTTAATGTGGTATAAAAGAGGAGAAGTCATACTAAATATTTTTCTGTTTATTTAGCCCAACTTTTTTTAACACGTCGAATTTTCACTAAACTTATTTTTAAAATCATAACTTTAAAATTACAAGTTTATCCTCGATAAATAAATAATTTTCGACCGTCGACCCATCTTTCGGTAGATAATGTTTTCAAACGACGGAGAAATGCGGTATATGTGACGGTGGAGTGGATCAGAACCGGTTTACGATTGTCGATTGGTAAAATGGTACTTATCACGACCGGTTAAGGGTAGTTTAGGGATTTCATCTTTTTTGGTTATTAATTAAAATTTTGTTTTGGAGGATTTTTTTTTTCGTTGCCATGGCATGTAATGTTGCGGGAGTTTGGATGGACAATTTGGTGATTAGGACTTGTGGTACGTGTTTAGTTATTTTAATTTAAGGATTATTATTTTCTGTAAACTATATTAACTTAAATATTTTTTTTGATGGGAAAATATCAAATAATACTTTCATATTTAACTGCACCATCTATTTCTTAGCGGTAAATGAATCTGATCAGTTAAAAGAAAATCAACGTAATTTTCTTTTCTTTTTTTCACTATCCAATGTGATTTTCTAATCTCATATCTTCTTCAAGTTTTTTCCACAGTTTTTTTTTATATGTTTGGAATCATCTAATACATTGTATGTCTTGTATTTTCGTGGCATAATTTAATTTCAAATAAAAGCTGTCTTTCTTAGGAACAAATAAAATATTTCTTAAATGTTTTATTTTTTGGTGAAAATATTTCTTAAATGTTGTGTTTCTCCGAAATATTTTATTTTGTAAAGTGTGTGGCGTGTATCTTCGAGTTGAAATGGAAATCGTGGGCTCAATATCTGAATTTGTCAAATATTATGTACGAGTTTTTCTACAGTATTTCTTTTTTATTTAACAACCCTTGTGAGTTGTGATGTCACGTTTATAGCTTTAGGAGTCTAATTGACAGCTATTTATTAAATTTAAATATATAAAAAAACTTCAAAAAATTACTAAACTTGCGAATAGGGTGAAAAACTAATTGCTAAACTTAAAAGTATTCTTATTTATTTTTGAATTTTGAAAATTGGATACGATAATTTTTAAACTTACTTAAAATATTATAATTGTCTTTATAATAATTTTGATCAAAATAATGCGTTGATCAATCCTACATGGCACGTGAATTGTCAAGATACGTAAGATTTTTATGTCATGTATATAAAATTGGGTTTAATAGACACGATTTAATAAAACCGGTTCGTAATAGAGAAAATTATGGTTCATCGGAAGATCTGTGATAATGACGGAGAACGAAATAATTATCATCACTATCGGTTCTCGAACTCTAGATCCATATCAATGGCTTCTCCGCCGAAATAGAAACGTTTGACATCAAAATAATCATCATCGGACATAGATCTCTTTCATCCCAAATTTTCTGGAGAAAACGGTGTCGTTCAAGAGAGAGACGCGGTGATCGAACCAAAATTTGTACTATTATAAACCAGTTTTGTTAAACCATGTCTATTAAATCCAGTTCTGTATAAATGGTATTAAAATCTAACACGTCATGACAGTTCATGCTCTACCTAATATTGTTCAACATATTATTTTGGTCAAATTTATGGTAAAGACGATTATGACACTCTTAAATTTTAAGAATTACCGTGTCAATGTTTTGTATCGAATTGCAAATTTGTTAATCTTCAGGGTTTCCCCTCTAAATAATGATATTTCTGATGTTTTAGCTTTTGTAATGAATTTGCCTTCAAAAATTTTTTGATACACGAAAAAATGAACTTTGAATCCACATGGATTTAAATGTCTTGGTTGGAATTTTTATTTTGATTTTGTACGATTGTTTATTATTTTTATATTACGTTTTTTTTTCTTCTAAAATTTTAATATTTCAAATCTCCCATGGCACATAACCTGATTTATCGAACAAAAATTCTCTTTAAAAATTAGAAAAAAGACGGACAGAGAATTTAATTACCGGAAAATTCCAAAACTCGGAGATGAACAAAGGAAAACATTAAAATAAACACAGCAATTGATCGAAATAAACACAACACTCCCAAAAAAAAATTCACATCAACAAATTTTTTGTTCCCTTCGACTCTCCGAGCCTTGTTCGACATTATGCTTACTGCAAGAGGTACGCGACGACGGCGGCGACGGATGCTCCGATCACCGGCAAGCTACCGATGGCGGAGGCACCGCTGCTTGGTCCCGGAGCCGGAGCCGGCGATGCCACGTCAGCTGCGACGGCGCTGATGGAGGCGGCAGCGAAGATGACGGCCACGGCGATCTTCTTCATCTCCATTGTCCCTCTGTTGTTTTTTTGAATGGCGTGTTTGGACGCAGAGGTAGAAATATCCTCGAAATGAGTTAAAAGCCAAACACGCCTTTTCTTTCAAATTTGTGTTTTTTCTTTTGCTGCTTGAAGAATGTGGAGCGACGGAGAGAAGGTATTTATAGGGAATGGTAAGGGTATTTTAGTAAATTAGTTTATTAAGTTTTGCCTTTTCTGGGGGATTATTTACCAAAATGGGTCAAGGGTGCCATGTTTGGAAAGCGAAGAAAAAGCCATTTTTATTGGTTGTCATTTGTTGATTAAGTCATGTGGTTGGTACTTTGGTACTTTAAATTTGAAATCTCTTAAATTAAGTAAATCGATTTTTGCCTTTTAGAGTTATTTATTTCCTTTCTAGTAGATATATATGGTAAAGAATAAAATCTGAAAACTTGGAATTGGAATAGAGTGGCAATAAAAGGGAAGAAATAAAAAATTGTAAAAAATTAAAAATGTACAGATACCAACATATATGTTGAATTAAAGGAAAATGAAATCGTAAGACAATTGTCAAAATATTGGAACCCTAAAACCACTTGGGCTTAAAGAAAAGATTGATTTCATTTTTTACTATTGTTTCTGGTCAGTAGTAGGACTTGGGCCATTCATTATCGGGCCTTTATGTTTCATTATTGGGCTTTAAACAAAGGCCCAATATAATTGAAACAACGGTTCGTCTCCGTTCTCTGCAAGTATCTTTCATTTCAATGGCTTTTGATGTTTTTATCAAAAGTTGATAGTAACGTTTCTTTTTTTGGTAAAATTTTTATCTTTCAAATCTCGGAAAGGCACATAAGCTGAGATTTGTCGAACAGAAGTTCTCTTCAAAAATTAGAAAAAAGACGGACAGGGAATTTAATTACAAAACACGGAGATGAACAAATGAAAACATCAAAATAAACGCAACATTCCCGAAAAAATTCACATAATCAAAATTTCTGTTCGCTTCTCCAATCGACGGCGGCGGCGACGGATGCTGATATCACCGGCGAGCTACCTATCGAAAGAGACCTGACTATCTCGAGAGAGAAAGAGAGAAAAGCAATTTGTCCAAACTTTCTGTATATTTTCCTCCAAATGAAAAACGGTGTTCTTATACCACAGAGAATTCAAAATCCTAAAACAGAGTGAAAGGCGCCAAAACTGAAAACTTATACGGAGTCGTCTCATAAGTTTTTGGGGCCTATACATATTTTAAATTTATATAAATTAATAAATTTTAAAATAATAATTTTAAATAAAATTAAAAAATTAAAAATTGTATTATTTCCAAAACTATTTAAAAATGATATAAATATATTAAATTTAACATAATATACCAATGAACTGCTATAATATATTTTAATTAGTTTTAATAAATATTTTTTAATATATTTTATAGAAACAATCAGTTCTAATAAATGTTTTTTTATAACAATTATAATATATTTTGGTTTTAGCTGTTAAAAATAAATATTTTAATTTATTTAATAATAATAAAGATAACTAATAATAACAAAAGTTGTTACCATTTATAATTAATTTTAATTATTTTCTATTATTAATAATTATTAATTAATAAGGGACCCCATAAATCTTAGGAGTCCTGTTCCATCGCACCTTTTGAACATGCTAATAGACGGCCCTGCTTATACTAGAAAACAAAACCAGAAACTAAACCAAGACGACAATCTCTAATACTATCGATAGCGGAGGCGCCGGTGCTTGGTCCAGGAGACGGAGACAGAGATGCCGCGTCAGCTGCGATGGCGCTAACGGAGGCGACAGCGAAGATGACGGCAACGACGGTCTTCTTCATCTCCATTGTCCCTCCGTTATTTTTTTTCTAAAATGACGTGTTTGGACGCAGGGGTAGAAACATAGGGTTATTGGTTAAGTGCGACAAAAAGATGTGGTGTTTTGCAAAGTATGACAAAATAGTTATGACCTTTGCAAATTATACCTTTTTATAAATTTTTGACAAAATTACCCTTACTTTATTGTATAATTTCAATATTGTCATTTAGCGTCCCAAAAAATATGCAATATAAAAAGCAGATTTTTTTGGAAACTGTGTAATCCGTGAGAGCTGTTTTTCATCCGGAAGAGACTGTTTTTATCCGGGAGAACTGTTTTTCATCCAGGAGAGTCTGTTTTTTATCCGGCATAACTGTTTTTCGTCCGAGAGAGTCTGTTTTTTGTCCGGGAGAACTGTTTTTTTGTCCGGAAGAGTCTGTTTTTTGTGCGGAAGAATTTTTTTTTTGTCCAGGATAACTGTTTTTGTTCGGGAGAGTTTGTTTTTATCCGGGAGAATCTTTTTTTTGTCCGGGAGAACTGTTTTTTGTCCGGGAGGATTGTTTTTTGTCTGAAAAAATCTGTTTTCGTTCGGAAAAGTTTGTTTTTTTGTCCCGAAGAAATGTTTTTTTCGAGGGAGTTGTTTTTCGTTCGGGAGTCTACGTTTTTTGTTCGAATGAAAAATAGTTCTCACGTATAAAAAAAATTGTTTTTCATACAAAAAATATTTTTTCCCCGATGAAAACAATTCTCTAAAAAAAAAAGTATTCTCAAAAACGAAAATAGATTTTTTCGGATAAAAAACATTTCTTTCGGATAAAAAAAGTCTTTTCCGAATGAAAAAATGATTTTTTCGGACGAGAAATAGTTCTTCTTGATAAAAAAAATTATTTTTTTCGTATACAAAAACAGTTAAACCAAATAAAAATAGATTCTCATAGATGGAAAATAATTATTGCGGATGAAAAAATAGTTTTCTGAGATAACACAGTTTCTGAATAAAATATATTTTTTATGCTGTAATTTTTTTGAAATGTTTAATGGTAACATTGAAATTATACAATACAGTAAGGGTATTTTTGTCAAAAAATTATAAAAAGGTATAGTTTGTAAAAAAATGAAAAAAAAATATAAATTTCTAATGACGTGACGTTTTTTTATTACTGGTGCAAATTTCCCCTAGAAACATCCTGCAAATGAGTTGTAAGCCAAACGTTGTTTCCCCTTGTAAAAAATTAAGTAATGTCCTTTTCAAAATCTTTAATTTAAAATAACTAAAAAAATTAATGATAAAACGTGGGAATATTGGAACCCTCAAACCACTTGGGCTTAATAGAAAAGATTGATTTTAATCTTTACTGATATTACTACTGGGCCTTGAGCTGTTCATTATTGGGCTCTGATCTCGGTATACGGGACAGAGCGCTCTTCGAATATTACTCAAATAATCTACTTGGGTCGCAGCAATTTCAATGTACACCACCGAAAAAAAAAAAAAATTTTCAATTTTAACCCATTTTTCGATTGGAAAAGTCCGAAATACTCTTTTCGTTTTATTTTTTGCGACCTTATTACGACTAACATATAACTGATATACCACTAAAATAAGATAGATGATTTTTTTGCCACCTTTTTTAGAATCAATTGTAACTATATTTAGAATTAATTACGAAGTCATAATAACGAAGTTGTTTTCGAACGGATAAAAATCGCGTATTCATTAAGGTAACTTCGTCTTTCACATGAAATAGGTGTGACCAAGTCCTTCATTTGAGTAAAATTCTCCCTCCGGCAGTGTGAGTGTCTGCTCTCCGATCCCGACGGCGTTGCAGCTACTGACCGTTGGCTAAGGTTTGATTTTCGATTCTTTTCTTCTTCAACATAGATTTGTTTCGTGTTCTTGGGATTTTTTTTTTGTATTTTGATATTTTCCCTCCCTCAAATATCCAGAAACTCCACGTCTTTGTTGATGAATTTGAAGTTCTAGGGTTTAGTGCCGTTGAACGTTATGAGTTTGCAAAGGGTTTTTGGTTCTGATTGCTAAAAAATCTTGCCTTTTTTTGTGGGTTTTTTTATTTAGATTCTTATTCTTTGATTTTCGCTCGTCATTTCGTTTTTTTACTTGGAAAAATAGCTTGGATCGGTTATCGCTGATTATGCGTTTGTATCGATGTTGTATTTCTCAGCTTTAGTTGGACTTTGAGCTTTTTTATATCAGATTTGAAAGCTCATAATTGGAGCCATTTGAAAATTTCGCAAGATGATTCATTCATTCCGGAGAACAAAATGGCTGGCCTTGGTGAAGATTCCGGTGGTGTATAATCCGACGCAGTTTTCTTCTGTATTGAGTTCAGAACGGCTTAGGTATTTGTCTGCTCTGGTTTCGGCTCAGGACAGCAGAAAATCATCTTTTAGCGTATCTACTTTGATTGGTAGTGCTCCTGAGTCTGATGTTGGGCGTCTGAAATTGCCGAAGAAGGCAAAATCAGTGTTGAAGTTCCTCGAAGATTATGGTTTCTCTGAATCTCAGATCAAATCCATTGTTTCTCGAAGGCCACAAATCCTCCAATGCGATCCCGAGAAAATCCTGAAGCCGAAAGCAGAGTTTCTCTTCTCGAAAGGGATATCAAAGCTTGATTTCACGAGAATAGTTTCAGGGGAACCAACGGCTCTAACCCGCAGTCTCGAGAACCATATAATACCTCTATTCGATTTCCTGAAGGATGTGATTGGTAGCGAGGAGTTGGTGCTACCCGTATGTGTTCCGCTCCAACATAAGGGAATCCCTCGAACTGAATACCAAGAAGTTGCAAAATGCCGGGGTACCCCAAGCGCGGATCACCTTGCTGATAATTTACCAACTTAGAGCTATTGCCATGAAAGCATCAAGGTTCAACGAAGCCTTCACCAGAGTTAGAGAAATGGGTTTTGAACCGACGGAAACCAACTTTGGAAATGCCGTTGCGGCAATCGGATGGTGTAGTAAGTCGGTCTGGGAAGGGAAAATGAATCTTTTCAGGAGCTATGGCTTATCCGATTCAGAGATCTTGAAAGGGTTCAAGAAGCAACCGAGGATCATGATGTTCCGACAAGAGAACACGATAAAAAAGATGAATTTCTTCATCAAGAGATTGCATTGGTGCCCTCAGAAGGTGATGATGGCTCCGCATGTTTTGTTGCCGAGCTTTGAGAAGAGAATAATTCCTCGGCTCTCTGTTCTGTATCTTTTGGTAACCCGAGGAGAGGTTGAGGAGAAGGAGATCAGCTCGGTTATGAATTTTCTGAAAATGGCTGAAAGAGAGTTTGTGGAGAAGTTTGTTGCGGCGTACAAAGATCGAATCCCTCAGATCTCGGAGGCTAACGAGGGGAAGCTGAAGATGGAGGAGAACCTTCATACACTAAACAAGGTGTTCATCAGGAACGAGTTCTTGGCAGGTACTTAGTATACAGTTTCACTGTCTTTTTTTTTTTTTTGCGCAACAATGGTGTCTGGTTCATTCCGATGGTATTGGATGTTCCGTTTATGACATGCATCAATCTTACAGGTGAGGAGGTGACATTATGAAGCATTGGCATGGCTTTGATCTTTTTAATAAGCACTCTCATAATGTAAATATTAGCTCTTTTTAAAAAAAATATTTGGGGAATATGATGTAAAGGGTAGGTCCAATTTATTTTGGTTTTATCCTTCAAAAAAAAAATATATATATATATACACCATAGTTTGTTTATGTGACCCACTTCCATGTGACTATCCAAGGATCTTCGTGTCCTCTTTCTTTTTTTAATTAGATTTTCATAAAAATTGTAATCTAATTAGAAATATCAAATCCAAAATCCCATTGATTTTTTTTCATGCCGATAGATTTTAAATGAATTTTGTTGATCTCATTAATGCTAAAAATTGGTTTATGTCCAAAGAGATATTAACTCCTCAACCGACACGGATACGAATGCGAAATTTGCGTTTAATCGTAAATCTTCTTTTATATTGTATCCTAACTCTTGCCCATATTGGTTTTTTCGGATGGTAACAAATGATTATCCTTCAATATTTTACTTTAATCTATTAATTTTTTGTAAAAAAAAAAATAGACCATAAACTGAAAATTCTAAAATGTAGAATTTGGAGTTTAAAATTTGTATTTAAGATTTAACATCTAAAATTTTAAGGTTTGGAGTTTACAATAAGGATAAATTAACAGTAGCAAAATGATTAAAAAATTATAAAAGTTAAACTAATTACCAAATTTTCCAATAAAAGCGACGAGTTAGGAATATATAGAATCATTCATATGGATGAATTATCACAAACAATAACACGTTTGAAAAATGTACCCTTCTAAATGATGCCACGTCAGCTGCGACGGCGCTGAAATAGGCTGTAGCGAAGATGACGGCGCCGGCGGTCTTCTTCATCTCCATTGTCCCACTGTTGTTGTTTTTTTAATGGCGTGTTTGGACGCAGGGGTAGAAATACCCTCCAAAATGTTTATAAGCCAAACGTTGGAATATTTATTTTTTCTCTTATAAATTCAGTAGTTTCCTTTTCAAAATCTTTAATTTAAAATAATTAAAAAAACATTAAATGATAAAAAGTTGGAATATTGGAACCCTCAAACCACTCGATTTTAACTTTTACAGATGTTTCTGGTCGCTATTAGGCCGTGGGCCGTTCATTATTGGGCTTTACAAAAGGCCCAATAAATGAAACAACGATTCGTCTCTGTTCTCGGTATGCGGAACAGAGCGCACCTCCAGCGACAGTGTCTGAATTCGACCCCGACGGCGTTGCAGCGAGTGACCGTTTGCTAAGGTTTGATTTTCGATTCCTTTCTTCTTCGATATAGATTTGTTTGGTGTTTTGGGATATTTTTTGTATTTTGATCTTGTTTCCGCTTTAATCTCCAGAAATTCCACGTCTTTGTTGATGAATTTCAAGTTCTAGGGTTTAATGCCGTAGAATCCGTCCATGTATCTGTTTCGCCATTTCATGCAGCTAACGTTTGATTTTCGATTCCTTTCTTCTTCAACATAGATTTGTTGAGTGTTCTTGGGATTTTTTTTTTGTATATTGATACTCCCCCTCCTAAGTATCCAGCAAGTGTGAAGTTCTAGGGTTTAGTGCCGTTGAACGTTGTGAATTTGCAAAGGATTTTTTGTTCTAATTGCTAAAACATCTCGCCTTTTTTGTGGGTTTGTGATTTAGATTCTTATTCTTCGATTTTCGCTCGTCATTTCGTTTTTTTTTTACTTCGGTTATCGCCGAGTATGCGTTTGTATCGCTGTTGTATGTTTCAGCTTTTTTCGTGGCTGTCTATGCGCTTGTATCTACTGCGTTGGTTCTTCTACTGAGTTTGATATCGATTTGAAAGCTCATCATTGGAGCCATTTGGAAATTTCGCAAGATGATTCATTCTTTCCGGAGAACAAAATGGCTGGCCTTGGTGAAGATTCCGGTGTATAATCCGACACAGTTTCCTTCTGTATTGAGTTCAGAACGGCTTAGGTTTTTGTCTGCTCTGGTTTTGGCTCAGGACAATAGAAAATCTTCTTTTAGCGTATCTAGTTTGATTGATATTGCTCCTGAGTCTGATGTTGGCCGTCTTAAATCTCCGAAGAAGGCAAAATTGGTATTGAAGTTCCTCGAAGAAAATGGATTCTCTGAATCTCAGATCAAAATTGTTGTTTCTCAAAGGCCGCGAATCCTCCAGTGCGATCCTGAGAAAACCCTGAAGCCGAAAGCCGAGTTTCTCTTCTCGAAAGGGATATCGAAGCTTGATTTCACGAGAATAGTTTTAGAGGAACCAACAGCTCTATCCCGCAGTCTTGAGAAGTATATGATGCCTTTATTCGATTTCCTGAAGGGTGTGATGGGTAGCGAGGAGTTAGTGGCTAGAGCTGTCAGAAGCTGCCCGTATGTGTTCAGCTCCAACATCAGGAAAACCCTTGAACTAAATACCAAGAAGTTGCAAAATACCGGGGTACCCCAAGCCCGGATCGCCATGCTGGTAACTCACCAGCTTAGAGCTATTACCCTGAAAGCATCATGGTTTGACGAAGCCTTAACCAGGGTTAGAGAAATGGGTTTTGAACCGACGGAACCCAACTTTGTAAATGCCCTTGCAACAATCGGATGGTGTGGTAAGTCGGTCTGGGAAAGGAAAATGAATCTTTTCAGGAGCTATGGCTTATCCGATCCAGAGATCATGAAAGGGTTCAAGAAGCAACCAATGATCATGAAGTACCGAGAAGAGAACACGAAAACAAAGATGAATTTCTTCATCAAGAGATTGCATTGGTGCCCTCATAAGGTGATGATGGCTCCGCATATTTTGTTGCCGAGCTTAGAGAAGAGAATAATTCCTCGGCTCTCTGTTCTGCATCTTTTGGTAACCCGAGGAGAGATTGAGGAGAAGGAGATCAGCTCGGCTATGCGTTTTCTGAAAATGGCTGAAAGAGAGTTCGTGGAGAAGTTTGTTGCGGCGTACAAAGATCGAATCCCTGGGATCTTGGAGACCAATGAAGGGAAGCTGAAGAGGGAGGAGGACCTTCATACACTAAACAAGGCGTTCATCAGGAACGAGTTCTGGTCACGTACTTAGTACAGTTTCATTGTCCTTTTTTTTTTTTGCAACAACGGTGTCTGGTCCATTCTGATGGTATTGGATGTTCCATTTATACATGGAATTTAGAAAAAGTGAGTATATGAAAATTTTGGCGGAATTGATTTGGGTGAAAAAGTGATGGAATGATTGAAGAGACACATTTTGTGTAGAAATGTGATGCCATTGAAGTTTAAGACATCCATGTGAGGTTTTGAGTTTTTTCTCCTCGTCTTCCGTTCAGGTCCTTTTTTTTGGCAATTGCTACATTTCAATTGTAATACTATATATCTAATTATAAAATTAATTATATATAATTTAAAAAATTATCAACAAAAAAGATTTTAATTAAAAAATCTAGTTTTTACCTTCATCTTCCCATAACATTTAAAAAATTAAATTAAGCAAAATAGTACTCCGTTTAACTTTACATGACGTTTTGGCATCATACACATATATTAAAAAAATAAATATTATATCTAAAATATCCTTATTTAATCAGAATTAATTTTCTCTAATTAATGATAGTTTGCCATCTTAATAAAGGGTAATAGTGGAAAAAAAATATAAAAAATACATAAAAAACAACAAAACGTCATTCATTTTAAAACAAAAAAATTAGCCTAAAACGACATCTAAAATTAAACAGAGGGAATAATAATTTGCCTTTTTAATCCAAAAATTTATAAAATACGTAAACATTATTTACTCGATGAACTCATAATTTTATACTTTTTAATCTACAATTTATTTTTAATTTTCTTTTCTCCACAATCCTCTATATATAAAAATATTTTAAATAATCATTTCTCTGTGATGATATGGCTAATATTGTAACAGCAAATTTTTATTCTATTATTTGGTCACAATAAAGAATATTTTATAATTTTCGTAATTTTTTATCAATATAAAAATAGGTTTTGTTGTTTATTAAAAATATAAAATTGTAAGTTAATGGGTTAAATAATATTTTAGTTTTCCTTTGGAAAAAATGTGAGAATTTACGAGGTTTTCCACAACCGTTTGCGGTGTCACTTTATATTTCTAGGAGTATAATTGACATGTGTATTTATTAAATTTAAATAATGATAACCATTAGATCAAAATATATGAATCGATTCTAATTTTTCCCTTTTGTAAGGAATTTGCCTTCAAAATTTTCTCGATACTCGAAAATACTGAAATTTGGATCTTTCAAATCTCGGAAAGACATCTCTGTTCCTTTTTTTTTCCTGGAATGCCGTGTTTGGACGCAGGGATGGAAATATTCTCCAAAAGGGTTGTAAGCCAAGCGTTGGAATATTTAAAATCTTCCCTTATAAATTCAGTAGTTTCCTTATCAAAATCTTTAATATAAAGTAATTTTAAAAACATGGAAAAATCGTCAAAAAAAAAAAAACTGTACTCTTTATATGTAATATTTTTTTTATTACTAAAAAAACTCTGTATTTATATTTATTTACCAAAAAAACCACGTACTCTTGAAATATTCACAAAAAAACCTTATACTTTTTTTTAGTGAAAAAAATCATATACTTATTACTTATTCGCCGAAAAAAACTTGTACTCTTAAAATGAACAAAAAAATCCTGTACTTTTTTTTATTACCAAACAAACCCTATACTTATAACTTATCCGCCAAAAAAATCTTGTACCACACTTTTTCTATTACCAAAAAATCATATACTTATAACTTATTCGCCGAAAAAACTCTGTACTTTATAAATTCTAACAAATAAAATTTTAATCGCAAACGTCCAAAAAATACGATAAAAAATTTGTTTGAACTGATATAAACCCGAACCGAATTAAACCGATTAAAATTTTGGATAGTCTAACATTTCACCGAATCGAACCGACTAAATTCTAGTAAATTTTTTTGGTTGGGTTTTTCGGTAAATTTTTTTCACCGAATCGAACTGTATTGTTTGAAAAAATTTCGGACAAATTTTTTACCGTCTAACATTTCACCGAATCGAACCGATTAAATTCTAACAATTTTTTTCGGTTGGGTTACTTTTTTCTATTAATTTTTTTCACCGAATCGAACCCAGTAGAAAATTTTATCCGAAATTTTAATCGGTTCGATTCGGTTCGGATATATATCGGTTCGGACAATTTTTTTACCGTATTTTTTGGGCGTTTGCGATTAGAATTTTATTTTGTAGGATTTATAAAGTACAAGGTTTTTTCGGTGAATAAGTTATAAGTATAAGATTTTTTGTAATAAAAAATGTAAAGGGATTTTTATCTAATATTTTAAGAATACATAGTTGTTTTTAGTGGATAAGTTATAAGTATATGGCTTATTTGGTAATAAAAAAAAGTTTTTTTGTCTAATATTTTCAGTGTACATTGGTTTTTTTGGTGAATAAATGATAAATATAGAGTTTTTTTTATAATAAACAAAGTATAAGGTTTTTTTGCTTGAAATAGTTTTTTTGGCTAATAAATATAAGTATAGAATTTTTTTATTATAGAATTTTTTTTAGTAATAAAAAAAGTACAAAAAAAATTTGAGACGTTTGAAGATTACAAGTTTTTTTTTTTGCGATTTTCCCTAAAAACATTTAATGGTAAAACGTTGGAATATTGGACTTTGAGCCTTGGGCCGCTCACGATAGGGCTTTACAAAAAAGCCCAATAATTGAAAACAACGATTCGTCTCTGTTCTCGGTATGCGGAACAGAGCGCACCTCCAGCGACAGTGTCTGAATTCGACCCCGACGGCGTTGCAGCGAGTGACCGTTTGCTAAGGTTTGATTTTCGATTCCTTTCTTCTTCGATATAGATTTGTTTGGTGTTTTGGGATATTTTTTGTATTTTGATCTTGTTTCCGCTTTAATCTCCAGAAATTCCACGTCTTTGTTGATGAATTTCAAGTTCTAGGGTTTAATGCCGTAGAATCCGTCCATGTATCTGTTTCGCCATTTCAGTCGAATGTTATGAGTTTGCAATGGGTTTTGGGTTTTAATTGCTAAAACTTCGCGCCTTTTTTATTGGGTTTGTGATTTAGATTCTTATTCATCGATTTTTGCTCGTCATTTCTGTTTTTTTTTTAACTTGGAAAATTAGCTTGGATCGGTTATCTCTGATTATGCTTTTGTATCGATGTTGTATTTCTGAGCATTAGTTGGACTTTGAGCTTTGTTCTTGACTGTCTATGCGCTTGAATTCTTCTACGGAGCTTTATATCGATTTGAAAGCTCATAATTGGAGCCATTTGGAAATTTCGCAAGATGATTCATTCATTCCGGAGAACAAAATGGCTGGCCTTGGTGAAGATTCCGGTGGTGTATAATCCGACGCAGTTTTCTTCTGCATTGAGTTCAGAACGGCTTAGGTTTTTGTCTGCTCTGGTTTCGGCTCAGGACAGCAGAAAACCATCTTTTAGCGTATCTACTTTGATTGGTAGTGCTCCTGAGTCTGATGTTGGGCGTCTGAAATTATTGAAAAAGGCAAAATCGGTATTGAAGTTCCTCGAAGATTATGGTTTCTCTGAATCTCAGATCAGAATTATTGTTTCTCGCTGGCCACGAATCCTTAAATCCGATCCTGAGAAAACCCTGAAGCTGAAAGCAGAGTTTCTCTTCTCAAAAGGGATATCGAAGCTTGATTTTACGAGAATAGTTTCAGGGGAACCAAAGGCTCTAACCCGCAGTCTTAAAAACCATATAATACCTCTATTCGATTTCCTGAAGGATGTGATTGGTAGCGAGGAGTTGGTGGCCAGAGCTGTCAGAAACTACCCGTATGTGTTCCGCTCCAACGTAAGGGAATCCCTCGAACTGAATACCAAGAAGTTGCAAAATGCTGGGGTACCCCAAGCCCGGATCGCCATGCTGTTAACTAACCGACTTAGAGTTTTTACCGTTAAAGCATCAAGGTTTGACGAAGCCGTAACCAGGGTTAGAGAAATGGGTTTTGAACCGACGGAAACAAACTTTGGTAGTGCCGTTGCAGCAATCGGATGGTATAGTAAGCCAATCTGGGAAGGGAAAATGAATCTTTTCCGGAGCTATGGCTTATCCGATCCAGAGATCTTGAAAGGGTTCAAGAAGCAGCCGATGATCATGATGTACCGCGAAGAGAACACGAAAACAAAGATGAATTTCTTTATCAAGAGGTTGCATTGGTGCCCTCATAAGGTGATGATGGCTCCGCATATTTTGTTGCTGAGCTTAGAGAAGAGAACGATCCCTCGGCTCTCTGTTCTGTATCTTTTGGTAACGCGAGGAGAGGTCGGGGGAAAGGAGATCAATTCGGTTATGAATTTTCTGAAAATGGCTGAAAGAACGTTCGTCGAGAAGTTTGTTGCAGCGTATAAAGATCGAATCCCTGGGATCTTGGAGGCTAATGAGGGGAAGCTGAAGATGGAGGAGGACCTTCATGCACTAAACAAGGTGTTCATCAGGAACGAGTTCTGGTCAGGTACTTAGCACTGTTTCACTGTCCTTTTTTTGTGCAACAATGGTGTCTGGTTCATTCTGATGGTATTGGATTTTCCATTTATGACACGCCTCAATCTTACAGGCGAGGAGGTGACATTATGAAGCATTGGCATGGCTTTGGACTTTTGTTTTTCAAAAGATTTTGGGGAATATGATATAATGTTGTTGGGTGTAAGTGTAACTTACAATATAATGGAGAAATTTCATATGGATTCTCATGTCATGTGGCTGTAAAGGGTAGGTCCAATTTATTTTGGTTTTATCCTTTCAAAAAAAAAAATAGTATAACAGTTTTGTTTATGTGACCCACTTCCATGTGAGGAGTACAGACTGTGTAAGGATGTTTCGACAACTTTGTATCCTTTTTTTTTTAAATTAGATTTTCAAAATTTTTGTTATCTATTAATATTATAAATAACAAATCCAAAATTCGATTGATATTTTTATGTCCGTAGATTTTAAATGAATTTTGCTGATCTCATTAATGCCAAAAACATAAGAGATTTTCAGACTGTCCACGTTTCATGAAAGGTGAAAGTAACTTCAAAGTAAATTAAAAGATGTGCCACATTTTATCACCAAGAGATTTGTTTTCATTTTCTGTGCAGTTTTATTCAGTATTGGATTATTTGGAAGAAATTCTAAAATCATTTATATATTTTATATCAGCAAAACGATGGGTAAAATACCAGAAATCTACAAAGTGGGTTAGTTATGATTTCTGTGGTTTTGCAATCATTTATAATTTTTTTTTTAAAATAACGTTATGAATTTTTTTTCATTCATTTTGTGTATCTAGTATACAAGTACAGAAATCTACATTTGATTTTGTTTATAAACTATGTAATTAATTAATTGATTAAAAAAAGATGTGACATTGAATGTGAACAGGTATCTAAAGCCTCACTTGGACGTCAAAGATTGAAGTGTTGGGTTGTTGTTCATCAACCCATACCCCCCATTTCCCACCTGTCTCACAGCGACTCTCCAACTATTTTCTTTCTTTTTTTCATAATTTCCTTTTTTATTATTTAATAATAATAATAATAAATATTTATGAGATTTTCAACCATCTGTATTTGTTAAGTTAGTTTGCAACTTAAGCTTTTCACATGGAAAGATCGAATTTGAGGTTCACGAGCTAAAAAGAGAGGAAAATACCAATTTTTACAGCTGAAAAAAATAAAATTAATATATGGAAATTACTAATTAATGGGAAAAAAATAGAAATTTCACATACGCGGCGTACAGTATAATAGTATGTTTTACCTAAATTAATAATGCACTTTTTTACCGTTGAGAAATGGAAAGTGTATATTAATTGGTGAAAATATTTAATTAATTAATGTGAGAAAAAAGAGAGGAATGTGAACGTTGGAGGAAAAGCAAAGACATCACACGCCGGCTCCCGACCTGGACTAACCGTTGTGACCAGCTGTCTCTGTGGGGTCCACGCGTCTTTTTCTTTCCATTTAAGAAATTCATTAATTATAAAATATATTAATTTTTAGAGGGGAAAAAAAAGAAAGGAAAAGTAAAACCCTAGACCCCTCGCTCCCTATAAATACCCACACGGCCCCTCTTCATCTCCATCGCAATTCACCTGCAGTTTTTACAAACCCTAGAATCCCAAATCTCTCGATTTCGATCTCGAATCTCTCCGCTTATCGTCAACTAAAATGGCCGGATTCAACTCCGTCTTCGCCGCCGTTCTCGTCGCTTTCATGGCGATCATCTCCGTCGCCGCGGTCTCCGCTCAGGATATGTCTCCGTCGCCTGCTCCGTCTCCCGACGCCGGATCTGGATTCTCCGTCGGTGCTTCCAGCGCCGTCATCTGCTCCTCCTTGCTCTTGTCTCTCGTCGCTTTCTTGAGGAACTGAATCGAGTCGTCCGAGTCGGATCGGGTCGATCCATTTTTTCTCGTGTTGATATCTTTTGGTTTTTCACCTATTTTATATTTATATGTTCATCGATTGAGAGTTCTATGATGGGGGGGTATTATTCGGTTCATTATTTTGTATTGCTTCATTTATTTATACAGAAATAAAGGCAGATATTCATATGATTTTTCTGTTTAATATTTATTCCTGTGTTTCTTTGCTTAGATTTGTTACCGTCCTCATCATTCGTGCCGTCGTTTTGATCAAACCAAAATAAATAAACTAGTGTGCATCCGTTTATGTATAGAAAAATCAATTAAATTCATTAATTTTAAATGAAAAGTGAACAATACACACACAAAAAAACTTTTTTAAAGTATTTAATTTATCAATAACTATCGAGTCTGAACAACAAATCAAATTAATCAGAATCCAGAACCAAACCAAAATTGATTGAATCTCTTTATTATCCTTACTTCGAGGGACAATCCTGTATAAATGATGACATCATGACATATACGAAATTCAATTAAAATCATCTTCTTTCAAAACATCTTATGGAATCGGAACTTAAACTTGTGAAAACCTGTGTATGTGTGTGTGTGTGTGTATATATATATGTTAACTCAATTGGGCTTTAAATTATATGTATAGCCATGTACATGTGTCTTTATATGGATTTTCTTGTGGAGGGTGAATGTATAAACGGGCTTTTACCGTCATCGGCATTTCCTAACGTTGGGCTTCGGTTAGACTGCTTTCTTCAGGCCCATTGAGCCCATCCCACATTATACGTCCCTCAAACAAATCCAGATCGTATTAAATCGAATTTAATTTTTCTCTCTCGTATATGTGTATATATATAATGGACCTCACGACAAGACCTCTGGCAATTGGCCACCTGTCTAAAAATTTTAATCATTTGCATTATATACATATACATATACATGTATGTGTATGTATGTACGTATGTATTTCACCATTGTGCTTGTCACGTTTGCTACCAACCAAAAAGAAAAACTGATCCTTCCTCTTATAAAAATGGCAGTTTCTGAAATCCAAAACCGCGAACCAAATCCCAAGAATTCATAGCAAACACTTTCAATTTCAAGAGACAGGGAACATATGGCTTCTCTCAATTCATACGCAGCAGCTGCAGCCTCGGCCTTTATCGCTATAACGCTCTCCTCCGCGACCACAGCCTCTGCCCAATACGACTACGGTTCGAAGACCGGAGCCGCCACAACAGCCGCCGGTTTCACGGGGATGTCAATGGTCGTTATCATCTCTTCCCTCTTCGTTTCCGGCTTCACCATCTTCAGGTGGTAGAACCAACTCTCCTCCCGGATGTTGTCTCTGTTTTCAACTGTCTCTGTCTGAATAATGAAAAATGTGTTCTGTTCCTGCTGTTTCGTCCTTACACTCTTCTCCATTCATGTGTGTATATATATATATATATCGAATTCAAGAACTATATATATATATATATATATCAAAGCTCAAGGCCTTTCTCAGGATTGGATTGTTCGTACAAGCATCTCTACATGATGCTACCACACCACGCATAATGAATGTATATTGGGGAAAAAAAATAATATACCCGTTCAGGCAAACATTATTCGGAGGCATTCCCCTTTAGAAATCATTTATTACAAGCACTAACTTCTTGATCCTCCTCCCGGCTTTTTCGACAAGATCTTGCAGTTCTTCTAGCATCAGAAAGTTAGTTCGAATCAGCGAAAACAGATCATCCACAGAGATTTGTGCAGAAACTGGAAAAAATTACCCAGGAAATCTGCTTCACCTTGCTACAGGGTTCTGTCGAAACTCGGAATAATCGAATGAGGACTTGCACAATGCACATATAAAACATCTTCACGCTACAAGCACCTGTGTTCTGTGTTGGAAATAGCCCATCCGTTGAAAAAGATTCGTAAAGGGAGGGAATTAGACATATATATAAACACTTTCATTCTTGCAGTATCATCATCTCAAATGGGTTCGAGCTCAAACCGAGACGCCGCTAGTGTAGATAAGTTGAGCACTTACATTGGATTGGAATGTCTAAAACGGTGCACACAATTTAAATACGCAGGTCACCGAGGAAGTCTGATAACCTGAAAAATATATCATCACAATCATAACCAACATAGCAACGAAACTATATGTTTTTTTAAGGACGCATGATTATAATCAAAACGCGCATTGAGAAAGAAGACCTTATATTATCTGCTATTGTAATCTCTCCGTCTTGAGACCCAAGATGCCGCAGAACAACTTCTTCCAACCGCCCGTCAGGATATGCATGCTGGTAATGCCCAAATAAAGTTGATGAAATCGTCACAAAACTCAAGTGTAAATGTGAATTGGAGGGAATACGATAGAGACAAGAAACTTTTCTTATCCATACCTTATAGAAACAACTGGTACCAAATGGGCAGCTTCCATTTCCAAAGTTAAAATGCCTGCAATTGATTGACCTGCAATATCGGAACATAGAAAAGCATAACTACAACAGTGGCTGATTTAATAATAAAGCACATGTAGCAAAAAAGATATCAAAGCTTCTTGCAAATGAACTCCACGATCGTGGATAAGCAAAAATAGCAAGATGATTTATAGTAATAGTATACCTGAGCTTTGCCTTATAAGTGCTGACTATTTCCTTTTTCTCCTCGGGAGTGGAATACCACACCACACTTGGTACAACAAAATATGATCTTTTGCGACAAATAGGGCAAGCTCTCAATGTGTTGTTCACGTCCATTCCCGATACAGGGGAACTACTGCGCCAGTTACGGATGCACTGTATGCAGAACGGGTGATCACACTCTGTCATCAGACCGAATTTCCTTTCCGCTGGACTAGGCTTCGACAATATACGGTCAAGACACACGCTGCACTCAATATCTTGACTGCGTTTCAAAGCCTCGACATGCTTCTGCATCTTTTCACATTCTTTAGTATGTTCTTCTCTTTCTTCGGGTCTGAAAGGATGCAAGCAATTCTTTCCACAGGTGGGGCAGAGGTCTCCGTGGATATGAGGACAGCGGTCTCCACGTTGGCATTCACCCGCCGCAGCAAACGAGCAGATGGGTCTGTCTCTTGGTTGGACATCAACACTAAGGACCATAGCACCTTCATTGTCCCACCCATAATCAACATTGTTTTGCAAATTCCATGCTGGCTCCGAAGGCGTGAAGAGAGAGCTATACTCTGATGAAGCAGTGCCAGGCAACGTAGCTACATCACCAACTTGAGAGGCGGGAGCTACAGGCTCAGAATCTGAGCTGAAAGGCTGCCGAGGAACGTTCCATGCCGAAGACGATGAGGACAGTGACTGAGAAGCGTTGACATGTTCATACCTGCATCTACTTCCGTAGGAACAGATCCCTTTCTGATAAAATGAGCAAATCTATAACGCAAAAAAAAAAAATCAGCAATCTTTGATGGCCCTGTCTGTTTCATCCAATTCTATGACAAAACGTCAAGGAAAGGGAAAAAAAAGGGAGAAACACAAAAGAGATTACGTTACATTTCTCGCGGAAGCATTCGAGTCATGGGAATATTCACAGTTGTCCCCTTTCAAGCACGCGCCTTGGATGAAGAACTTGCAGAGAATCCTATAAAAAAACAAAAATCTAGAAAGGATGAAGCCCACACATCAATCAAACCACAAGCTTCTCCCATGTTTTCAGAGCAAAATTTTCTTCGATCAGTGAGATTCAAGATTAACAGAAACCGATTAGAGTTCTACCGAATCATCACCTCAAGAAGAGAATCCGGCCAACAAAAAGATCAACATCTAGGGTTTGATTAGAATAGTCGAAAGAAACCACGAGCCAACAAAAATCAAAAGGGACCCAAAAACGATTGAATGGATGGAATTTACCTATCGGACATTAGGGATTTGCGAGCGCGGAAACTATTGTCCGAAAGCAAAATTGAACCGGGAAACAGATTCAGAATCAGAAGAAATTATAATATTTGTCGGAGAAGAAACAGAAGGAAATGGGGAAGAAGAGGTCCACGGGATCTCTGGGGACGAGAGAGAGAGAAGAGGAGAAGGGAGACAGAGAGATTTCTACGGTTTTCAATTTCCGGCGGTCGAGGTTAGATAGATAAACACCGTCTGGTTTTCTCGTCATTTCATAATATTTTAAATTACGAAAGTACCCTTATACATGGGCCAGCACAGGCCCAATATTGTGTTATTGGGCCTTTTAAACAAAAGAACCTCTCCGCCGATTCACGAATTACCGAAGAGACCAATCGATGAAAGCCCATATCAATTCGGTTTGACTATTTTCAACCTCTATGAACATTTCACATTTTTGCAACTACTAGCAATTTCTTTTCTTCTTAAAATAAAATACGTTATATATCCATAAGAAACGATTTTACAGAAATGTATAAAAGGACAACTAATGCGATTTAATTATTTAAAATTCTAAAATCTTTCTAATTATAATATATATATATATATATATATATATATATAAACTAATTTGTATCCATAGAGCTCTAGTATAGACAGATATAAATATCGAGCCTATAAAACTATCAAAATATAGTAAAAAAATATGGGTTGTATATATAGTAGAAGCTACCGTTATATGCGAAAACTATACGACCATCACTCTTTTTTTTTTATTTAATTAAAGGATAAATTACTTTTTAAAATTTGACCAGAATTTCTTAATTTCTATTTCTGTTACCCAATCCTGTAAAAATGGATAGATACGACTAGAAACATCAAACACGACCAAGCGGTATTTTCGATTCTGTTTATATTAAATGTATTGCCTGATATGAAAAAAAAAAGTTTTGGTCATGTGATTATACATTTTACTGACTTGTTGTAAGTTTTGGTAGAAAATTTTGCCAAATTCTAACCTTTTAAAGTAATTTATGAAAAGGGATAATGCAGTCCATTCAATTTTTATTTTTTTTTTAGAATATAGTTTGGTGATAGAGCCTTAGACATGTCACATTGCAGTCAGTCACACCATACATTTTCGAAAGCTCTGAATCTGATCGCAACGGGAATTTCCCACTCAGGAGAGAGTATACCCACTGCAACACTTCATCATTAAAAAGCATATAGTATCATTCTATTTATTTTTCCACTTTCAGAATACCTTTCACGATATATATATATATATGTATGTATATATGTATACAAACACGTATAGCATTTTATATTTCTACAAATATAAAGTTCCATTTCAGCCATATATATCTTCTTTGGATCCAACATTGGAAGACGAATACATATATGGACTTGCAATATACGTTGTGTCCGAATATAAAACAAAACCAAACAAAAAAGGAAGAGAAAGAAACAGTTGCATGAAATGAAACATTAAAATTAAAAACAAGCATGCACACTTAACCCAAGTCCAAAAGCCCGAGCGAGATCTAAATCAAGTCCAAGAACATATACACATACACAATGACAGAACAATATTAATCGATCGATCGATGGATGGAAACACGAATGCATACATAAAGATTGATTAAGAGCATCACTGGTCGTTGCCGTCGTGGTCGATCTCAGAAGCGGGTTCGTCATCATCGTCACCGCCAACACCACCATGACCATGTCCGAACGCCCTGACGTGGTCCTTGAGGGAGCGTTTGTGTCTGAAGTCGGAACCGCAGACGCAGAACCAAACGCGACCGCAGTTCTTCTCGTGCGTTCTCCAATCGCCCTTGACGGCGAAGGGCTTGCCGCAGCGGCGGCAGGAGAAGGGCTTGGCGCCGTGTTTGCGTTTGAAGTGCGTTTGGAGGGTTCTGAAATCTTTGAGAGGCTTCGCTCGTGGGTGGTCGATGTTGTGCTTACAGTTCGGAGCGCAGCAGAAGCATGGAAGACGGAGCATGCCTGTCGGTTGTGTTCCTCTCAGTGAGTCTGGTCCTTTTCTGTACTGCGATCCATGTCCCCACATGTGCATCTGTGTGTGTGTTTTTTTTTGTAAGTTTTTGACACTATATGTTGTTATACATGCATGTGTGTGTATGTATATGAATCCACGTCTCAATTGTGTATGTATAGTGTTGTGTACATATATGTGTGCATATGCATATGGGTAGTTATGCATGTGTATGTATAGTGTTGTGTACATATATATGCGTACATATGCATATGGGGTGTGGGAAATATGTGCGTGCGTGTGTGTGTATGGTAGGCAATGCAATTAATAACATACGGTAATTGGAAGGATGTGAATGTATTGATGCATTGAGGTTTTATTTTCCATGGTATATGTGCATGCTTGTGTGAGAGATGAAACTCTGTGACACGTTACATTCATACACGCATGGTACTCGTCTAACACTGTGGATTTGGTTACAGATTAAATGAACCGACATACGGAATGAATCATATGTCAAGGAACAGATCGGTCATACATGCCATTCAATGAACTAGATTTGACCGTAGGGAAACTATATGTGACCACTAGGTCATCGACACTTGACTATTGTAGCAAATCATGATTAATTAATTAAACCAAAGAAAGATCCAAGGAGATTATGATTTTGTCGGTCTTTGCACTATATATATTATGGTTTTTGGATCGAGTTGTTATATGTATGTGTTCATGTTTATCAGTAGCAGTTTTCTAATATTATTTTAGGATATGATTGGTATGATGAAATTTATCAACCTTGCAGGGGGAAAAAAATATGATGTCAGGGCTTATGTATAGACTGGGTGTTGCAGACAATTAGCTTTCTTGGTGATCAAGAAGATCTATTGTAATATTCAGCAAACACTGACGAAAATCTTATCACTGATCTCAATCTCTCTCTCTCTCTCTCTCTCTCTCTCTCTCTCTCTCTCTCCCTCCCCTCTTCTTCTTCTCAGTTCTGACCCCCAAGTGGAACTGTTCCTTTGCACAGTTTTCAAGTCTCAATAAATTTTAAAACCCCCAAGGAACATCTCGCTGAGTGATTGTAATGACTACGAGACAAAAAGTCAAGAACTTAAGTCTGTACTAAAAGACTTTGTATGGCTCAGTTGCACCTTCAGCACGGGCTTTAATCTTGCCATATTTTATGACACAAAACCCTCAGACAAACTCCATGAGAATCGAAGATCGATAACAGTTAAACCAAACATTAAACGCAAACCAAAGATTTCAGTGCGCACGCAGAGAACATGTATATGTGTGTATGTATGTATGTATGTATGTATGTATGTATGTGTGCATCATCATATGTACCTGGAGATTGTTGTATCTGTTGAAGGTTTTGAAGCAAACAGGGCAGGAGAACTGGGTTGGACCAAGGAGAATCTGAGTTGGTGTGGGAATCCAATACTGGCCCTTGTTCAACCTCCCAAATGGGTACCCAGAAACCACACTCACGTCATCTTGATGATGATCTTCCTTGTCATGATGATCATGATTCAACACCACATCTGCAGCCACGAAGTTGTTTTTGCTGCCCCCATAGTTAGGGTTTGCGCTGCTGTTTGGAAGCCCTATGTTTAGGGCAACGCTCACATCCTCATCACCATGCTGATGATGACCATGAAGGTAGCCATCATCGTCTCCACCACATCCATCGTCATCTTCATCACACTCATCCTCATCGTCGCCACCGTATGAGTCCTTGGCCATGCTCTCCATGTTAGAGCTGCTTGAGTTCTCATGGAGGTTGTTGCTGCTGCTATTGTCGAGTAGTTCTTTCGTTGGATTGAGATAATCTATGAGTGGTAAAGCAACTCTTGAAGGATAAGAAGAAGCCGAAGGTGTGGGATTAGTGTAAGAGTATGGTGAAAACCATGATGATGTGTTTGGGATATTGTGAGCAAATGACGATGACGAAGATGAAGATGAGGATGACGATGAAGAAGAAGAACTATAATAAGGTTGAAGAGGAGGCATGAAATTGAACCAACATGGATCTGTCATGCTTCGAAATAGTTAGAGAGCAGCAATCTCAGAGAAGATGAGAGAAAAAAAAATGTTTTTTTTTTTTTAATTATGGGTTTTGGTATGCTTTTCTTTTTTCACTTCAATCATAAATATACCCATATATATACATATACATATATATATATATATATATATATATAAATATGAGTATACAGGAGAAAACCTTATAAGAGACTGTTTTACCCAAAACAACCTTTATATGGACTGACCGTTTCTCATGCACTCTACAGTCAATATCACATGTATATACGAGTAAAATATGCCGTACACTAAAAGAATAAAGCAAATATAATAAAAAAAATACTCTATTCACCTTAAAACAATTTTAAATGCGATTACGACAACATATACCTAATTAGGGCTGGATGACAATTTATAATCACAATTAAATTTCATAAAATCTAGTATGATGAAGCCTTATATGCATTTATAGAAATGAAGGTCTATATTTAAACTCCATTTTGCTTATAGACTTTAAAACCTCACAACACTACATATATATATATATATATATATGTGTGTGTGTGTGTGCGCGCGCGTGTGTGTGAGTTGAAACACCACCGGATGCATAGGTGAATGAGCTTTTGTCATAAACGAAACTAAGGAGAGTCAAATAAACTACCTGATTTCGACAATCCATACAAATTATAATATATTAATTTATATGGTGATTAGAAATATATAATACAGTAGCAAAAGTCACATGATATCTTTTATGTTTGTCTCCGCGAACTTCTAAGCTCGAATCAGAATTGCACCATACATACATACATACATACATACATACATACATACATACATACATACATACATACATACATACATACATACATACATACATACATACATACATACATACATACATACATACATACATACATACATACATACATACATACATACATACATACATACATACATACATACATACATACATACATACATACATACATACATACATACATACATACATACATACATACATACATACATACATACATACATACATACATAAGAGATTATAAGTTTAATCTGTATATTATTTCAAGGAACATCGTATATTGTTTTTGGAGTGTACAGTCTATCAATATTTTCTGTATTTAATTCGAAAACTGTCTGTTATATCTGAGACATTTTGATTTAAACTTAGCATCTTGCTTTTTTTCCTTTCCCTATTATTGGTATCTGTGAATTATTATATATCCTTTAAAATATATATTTAGTAGGTTAATGTCGCATACATCGTTTAACGAAACTGAAGAAAATTAATTAGCAATGCAGCTCGTTTTAACCTAATAAATTAGGGTTTGACATCTTGGTTTGTAAAACTAACTCGGTTTTAATATTATTTAATTGTATTCTAATGTCATATAATTTTAAAATGATATAATTTTTCAAAATTAAATTAGTCAAATTACAAAAATATTTAAAAAATAAGTAAATAATTTTTTTTTATGAAAATATAATGTAAATCTAATCTAAATATAGTTCAAAAGAGATAAAAAAAAACAAAATATATACATATCATTGAATAAACTGAATATTGATCACAATTGGATTCACAATCACATGTTTCTTTTGTCACATCATGATTCATAATATATGTACAAACACACACATATACGCCTAAGTGTATATAAATGATATTATATAATAGAAACTTATTTTAAATAAAATCTAAATATTATACGAAACTATCATATATATGACTTTTCTAAAAAAATTAATCAAAACCAAAAAGCTACAGTGATACACCTATATTTTTTTTTTCACCTATCTTTTACGCGTTCATGAATTCTCTGATATTTGAGTCATTAAATACATATAAGATCAAGAGCATACAAAAAATGCAAGAGAGAGAGAAAAAAAGTTAATTTGGATAAACCGAGTTAACTAGTCACAGAGGTAAATCCAATTTGTCGGAAAATATCGCAATTATGATTCAAATACCAAATATTTTTTTGTTTTTTTTAAAAAAAAAAATTTAAACACTGATTGAACGAGGACCCCCACCGCAATGTTGAGTTCTCAAATCCTTTTCTACTGGGGACGAACAGAAGTTTCGAGGCCCAACGGGACCCTGACACGTGGACTAGAAATTTAAAATTGCTATCTAGTCAAATTTAATATGAAAAATGAAAAATAAAAGCAAAATCATTTCTTCATTTAAGAAATAATATTTTTCTATGTATTTAAAATTATGCATGAATATTATACACAAAATTGAAGTACTAGCAAATTGAATAACATTTATAATCATATACCAAATATCATACTATATATGATTTTTTTTCAATGAAATTAATCTAATTTTAACTTATTTTGAAATAAAATTAACCAAAAAATATGAAAATATAAATATAAAATATGAATAGAAATTAAATTAAATAATGAAAATATTTTTCAAAATTAAATTAAAAAAATAAGAAATAGAAAACCAATTAAAATTGGAAAGGTTTCCCCTAAAAAAAGGTAGGGGAGAATAATGAATTAAAACAGTATGATTAGATTTGTAGGGCAAAATTCGGATGTTAGATTTGTAGGGCTAAATTTAAGATGCAATTTGAGTTAACATCTCTCTCTTTTCTTTTCTTTTTAAATTAAGAAAAAGACTGGATTTCTTTGGGGGTGAAGGAGATGATGCCACGTGTGACCCCGGGGGATTACGAGCATGAAAACGAAAGACAACAGAGGTTTGCGTTAAGTGCAATGTCTAGTGGAACTCCAACTTAAGCTGGGGTTCCTTATCTTTGCATCTTGGGACTCTCCGTATCCACCAAGACATATACATACATATATATATATATATATATGTATGTATACATACGTTACATACAGTTATGCGTACGTGTACGTTACGTTCACATATATCCCATATAATATTAGTAATCAAATACATGCATTCCCGTCCACACATAAAAAAATTGTTATATATACTCCGATATTTCTCGCTGGAAACATTAATGTTATGTATATAACTTACATTAAATTTGTTTTAACAAAAAAAATGTATATAACTTAAGTTTGACTCTATATATATAGTTTTATTTGGATGTTATTTAAACAAAATTAGCAGTTACTATAGTATTTGAATCGAATTTTTATTAGAATGATAAGAGGATTCGGATATTTGTTTTTCGATTATTAATATACCATCTATCTGATAATTATATTCTAAATAATTTATGATTTATTATTTGATTTTTTTTTTGGGTACGTGTAAATTGGGGAAATATGGAATTGAAAATACAGCGGCATTAATTGTTTCCTATTTGATGAGAGAGACAGATAATTACAGATTTGGAGTTTTGCTCTCTCCACAACTTAGTCGGCAGCATATTTTCCAGACGAACAAGATACAAAGATATTATAATAATCGGAATTATAAACCCTATCTTTTTCGAGCATAGGTTTCCAAGCAAATTTATAAGAAGAATTTAATTCATAAGACAAGTCGTTGAAATTTATGTAAATTAATTATTTCGAAATTCTTTATTCGTAGCTGAAAATGGGTAGACTAACATAAAATTTCTAAAAAGAGAAAATATAAAAATAATATGAAAATGTATGAATTTTGTTTTGGTGCGTAATGGGTCCGTTACTTTGACCAGATAGGCTAATAGTATTAATAAATCACATTATATGGAATTGTGAAATATGTCTATACACAATGGAGGATTTTGACATTTCCAAGATTGCACGAGTGTTTGTTTCCCTCTTTTTAAAATTTCAAGCTTTGGTTCTCCACCTCCAAAATTCTTATTTCGGACTTCCCGATGAACCTTGTCTCCTCCATTATCAAGGAGGAAAATAAATTAAAGGAACAAAAACTAATTTTTATATAAAAAATTATTTTAATTATCTACGAAGTTATCTTTCTGCCTATTATGCACGGTTGGTTGAATTTATAAAATTACATTAATGACCGGGATATATATGTGATCGAACTATATCATTGTGCAGCTGCTAACTATATATTATATATGAGAGTTACCCGGGACGTAAGGGATCGGCTTTTGTGAATTTCAGTATATGTGGATGAAACCAACTTTATATCACACACCTACTACTATTTAAAGCGCCAACGAATTATTGGTTAAACTTACAATATGTCAAGTTTGAATATACGGTGATAACATGAAGAAAATGATCTCTCCAAGGACTTTTTTTTTTTCTTCAAATGAATGGGAAAATAATAATAATAATAATAATAATAATAATAATGTAACTGTTTGAAAAAGCCAACAAAGAATAAAGGCGATGCTGCAAAGACATACAAAGCTACAATTGTGAAAAGAGACCGTCGAGGACATGCATGCCATGTATTGGATTACGACAGGACATACGAAGAACAAACAGTTCGTGTTTCAAAATATATTATATTTTATATATTACATACAAATATACATATATATGTATATGCATGTACGTGTGTGTGTGTGTATTAGGGTTTGTATATGTGTGTTTTGTGCATATATTATCAAGTGAAATGTTAGGTTGACGTTTTAAATTAATGAGTTTAATTGCACGTGTGACATTTTATTTAACATTTTATTATAGTTTAATGCAGGAGTTTCACATATTAATTCGAATATCTTTCTTTAATGTAACAGATGATACAACTTTAAAGGTACAATGAGAATATAGAATTATTAACCCATGGATCATATTAATTACCAGAATATTTAAGAAAATACATGATCTCACGACCCATATAAAACAGCACGCATAATTGCATTTATTAAATGAAAACTATTGCCAACGAAGTAAACACAAATATAATATCCCACAAATTTGTTAGATTTTATGTTGAAAACAAAATTAACATTGCTAAAATATATCATATACTTTATTCTTTTAAATAAATAACACACAAACGAATAATATTTTTATAAGAGAATGTTTTTCTAATTCAAAGGATTATAGTATGATACATATAAAAACTTTCCGAGTAATTTCATCGAATAAATTTGGATTTAAAGAAGCTAATCCTTATCAAACTGGAATACGCTATGGATATTTTTTTTATTTTTTTTTATAAAATATATTTTTT